ATAAAGGTCTCAGATGGTTTATAAAGGTCTCAGAGGGTCCATAAAGGTCTCAGATGGTTTATAAATGTCTCAGATGGTTTATAAAGGTCTCAGAGGGTTTATAAAAGTCTTAGAGGGTTTATAAAGGTCTTAGATGGTTTATAAAGGTCTCAGAGGGTTTATAAAGGTCTTAGAGGGTTTATAAAGGTCTCAGATGGTTTATAAAGGTCTCAGCTGGTTTATAAAGGTCTTAGAGGGTTTATAAAGGTCTCAGATGGTTTATAAAGGTCTCAGCTGGTTTATAAAGGACTTAGAGGGTTTATAAATGAACGGCACGACGGCTCAGTGGTTAGCACCGACGCCTCACAGCAAGAAGGTCCTGGGTTCGATCCCCGGTTCGGACCTGGGGTCTTTCTGTGCGGAGTTTGCATGTTCTCCTCGTGCTTGCGTGGGTTTTCTCCGGGTACTCCGGTTTCCCCCACAACACAAAAACATGTACAATAGGTTGCCTTCAGGCCCAGGCCGCCCTTGAAAAAGAGATCTGAGATCTCAATGGGATTTGCCTGGTAAAATAACAGTAACATAAAAAAATAAATAAACAAGATGAGTAATGTATTGCAAGAGAATGTGATATTTTTTATTCAGTTTAGAATTATCCTTCCTGCTTTTTGAAGGATCTGAAAAGATTTAATGAAATGCTTTCAATTGCATATTTCTAGAGATGCACAAACACCAACTTTCCACTTAATGAATTCTTCTTCTCTCCTTCCTACTTTCAGGATAATGCATATTTTTCCCTGCCCAGAAAAAGAAGCCACCATGAGCAACGTCACAGTCACAGACAACACGGAGCCCATCAGCCATGCCATGAGTCCGGCCACCCCCGGCCCGTATTCCTACCCTGTTAGTTTCCAGGTCTCCCTGACAGGCTTCCTGATGCTGGAGATCCTGCTGGGGCTAAGCTCCAACCTCACTGTGCTCGCTCTCTACTGTATGAAGTCGAACCTCATTAGCTCTGTCAGTAACATTGTCACTATGAACCTCCATGTGTTGGATGTGCTGGTATGTGTGTGCTGCATCCCTTTAACAATTGTGGTGGTGCTGCTTTCTCTGGAAGGAGACACTGCTCTCGTTTGCTGCTTCCACGAAGCTTGCGTCTCTTTTGCTAGTGTTGCCACAGCTGCAAATGTGCTCGCCATCACCCTTGATCGCTATGACATCTCTGTCAAACCGGCGAACAGAGTGTTGACCATGGGCCGCGCTCTGACCCTGCTAGCTGCCATTTGGGTGCTATCCTTTGTGAGTTTCCTCATACCCTTTATTGAGGTGGGCTTCTTCGCTCACGGCCACACTGAGCTGAACCAGACAGTGGTGGAGAACGTGGTTCACACTAACCAGTATTATACCGAGCTTGGCCTCTATTACCACCTGCTCGCACAAATTCCCATTTTCTTCTTTACTGCCGTTGTGATGCTCATCACCTACTCCAAGATCCTGCAGGCGCTCAACATTCGCATTGGCACACGTTTCCACAATTCACAGAAAAAGAAGGTTCGCAGGAAAAAGCGTCCTTCCATGACAGCCATGACAACACAGCAAGAGGCCACGGATGCATCCCAGAGCAGCGGCAGCCGCAATCCCACCCTGGGCATGCGCACCTCCGTCTCTGTCATCATCGCCCTCCGTAGGGCGGTCAAACGCCACAGAGAGAGACGAGAGCGCCAAAAAAGGGTTTTCAGGATGTCTTTATTGATTGTGTCAACTTTCCTACTGTGCTGGACGCCCATTACGGTCCTCAACACTGTCATCTTGAGCATGGGCCCTAGTGACCTGATGGTCAAGTTGAGATTGGGATTTCTGGTAATGGCCTACGGCACGACTATCTTCCACCCTCTGCTGTATGCCTTCACGAGGCAGAAGTTCCAAAAAGTCTTGAAAAGCAAGATGAAGAAGCGAGTGGTGTCTATCATCGAGGCTGACCCCACCCCTAATAATGCCATCATTCACAACTCCTGGATCGACCCAAAGAGGAACAAAAAGGTGACGTTTGAGGATAAAGACGCTCAGATGAAAGGTCTTTCTTCTGAAGATGTGGCGTGAAGGATCTAATTACTTTGGAGGAACATAGACAAAGCAGCTAGAACTGACATTAAGTCTTTGTGAAAAAGGGAAAATCCTAATCCAAAGCAGTAATATAAAATATTATGTGCAATAAAATATACAAAAAAGAAATTGGATAATTTATTACTATTTATTGAGAGTAAAAATATGTTTCATAGATGTACCTTATGTTGTACTGTAGATATTGCATGGACTTTTGTAGCAGCAGCAACACATGGTGAATTATGTAGATTAAAAATTCATGTACAGAACAGGCTAAATAAGGTGTATACTAAATAGAGACAGAAGTAGGAATTGTCATGTTAACATATATTTATAATAAATTTTGTGTTCACTTTCAATGTAAGCAAAAGGCTTTCTCTTCCGCCCTCCCTTGAGTAAAATGTTTGTGATTCTGTGACAGCTATGAGATGACTCACATTTATCATGTTGCCACTTTCTTTGACACCAACCTCACAGTCTCCAGTGGCTGCCGGCCTTGTTGTTTGGAAGCTTGCAAAAGGGAAAACCCTCACACCAAAATCTGACGATAAATAGTAAAGGCCCGACAAAGACGGGTGTCACGCATGGAAAGACAGAAACAGAAAAGATGCTTTGTTTGTTCGGTGAAACAGCTCAGGAAGTACTGTTTAGAGTTCAGCAAACACACACACATTCCACAGACACAACAGAACACCGTGCTTCTCATCATTCTAGTGGATATAAACCAGATGTAATCAAACCCTGGTCTGCCTTTTTTCTGTGGCGTTTTTTTTTAATTCTTATTCATTCATCTCTTTGAAATGATGAAAAAAAAAGTGACAGTAGCAAATTTGGATCAGATTATTTGAGTTCAACAGTTTGGTGGCAGAAAAAGAGTGGCAATCAACACAATGAACAATAAATAATGTATTCTTTTTAGAAGTGAATTGAAGCATTAGTTTTATTAAGGCTTTTTCTCAAACTAAAATAAAACTGTTGATTTTTTTCAAGGACTAACAACAGTGCTTTCAACATAATCACAAAAATAACAGAGAACAACGATATACATCTTCCAAAAACATTGTTTACAATAGCCCCTATCAGATAATAAAGTTTCACTTCACTGCCTTCGTTTGACTGCCAGTGGTGCGTGCTGTTTATTGTTTGTCAAGAAAGAAACAAACCAACAAAAAAGATTGTATTCCCAATGTGGCTGCAACTTGTAAGTTATAACACAACCAGCTTTGTATTTTTAGATCATGCTGTTCTGAATATAAAAAAGAGTAATTTGTTCACACAACTGAAGATTTTCAGAAAATCTCCCTGTGCAAAATATTAAAATAAAACTGACTTTTTAGTTGATGCACTTTAAAGTGATAGTTTAGCTCTTTTAAGGTGGGCTTCTGTGGAGGGCTATAAACAATTAATATTTTACCTTTGTATATAGCTCTTTGAGCAGACTGTGTTCAAGAGAATTGAGTTTAATTCGACTAGTTTGATCAACTAATGGCTTTTCCAAGTGAACACTAGTGAATCAATAGTAAACAGCATTTTATAAACCTTTATATCACTGCCTGTTTTGTATTACATTGCTTTAAACATAAAATTGTGTTATTTGCAAGATCAGGTAGCAGCAGCAGCTGGCTTTTAGCATTTCCAGTACAACCTGTGATATTTTTGGTAGTAATACTTTTTTTCTAATGAAATAATAATTTCAGGCAAAAAGAAGTGCTATGTGAAAGTTAAAAAAATGTTTTTAATATGATTTTATTTATTTTTTAATTTGGAGTTGTTTTATGATGGCAGCAACCTTGGTTTTCTATTCCGTTCAAACTAGCCGTTAGCTTATAGCTCAGAAGTGAGATCAGTCAAAACCTTCACTTCCAATGATCTTTCATGGTTCTCAAACTGTGGTAAACGTAACACTTGGTACTCAGGATTCTTGCAGAGCTCTTCAAGAAACATGTCCACACAAGTATATTTATAAAGTATATTTAGCTATATTTCAAGCAAGTAAGCTAATTTACTGTGATGAAGTCTGAAGACGTTGTTCTCTTCTGGAAAAACGTAGAATTTTCCGTCTGGATTGGAGTGAATCTGCCTAAAGCAGAGGAGTTCCAGTGTCTGGGAGTTTTGTTTGAGCCATGATAGAATGGGAGATGAATCGATGGCATTGCTCTGGTTTGTTGTTGTGAAGGAGCCAAGCCAAAACTCTGTTTTAATGTTCACCTATGTCGTAAGGTATGGCTCAAGATTAAAAGCACAAAATCCCAGGTGGAAGTAGATGAAATATGCTTCCTTTGTAAGATGGCTGAGGAACTCTAACATCTGGGAGGAGCTCGGAGTAGAGCTGCTGCCCCTTTGCGTCAAAATAAGTCAGCCGAGGTGGTTCAGACATCTGTTTAGGATGCTTCCTGAGGGTCTCCCTCTGGAGATTTTCTAGGCATGCCCCACTGAGAGGAGATCCGGCGTTTCTGACTTGGGAATGCCTTGAAATCCCCCAATAGGAACTTAAATGTAGATATAAACAAAAAGATATGCCATTCAAGGAAATTAAGATCTAAACTACTCAAAGTAATAATGGAATAGAGAATATTTAACTGGAGTGGATAACCATGAACCAATGTGCTAATGGCTACTAGAGCAGCACCAATGAGGTCTTTCCAGGATCTGCTAACAAATGGTGTAAAACAGCAAGAAGATTGGTCTTTGTTTAGTATTCAGTTGTTGTAGATAAAAGACGAGTCAAGGCAGCAGTCTGCAAGGTGTTGTTCTCAGCAACAAACCGTTGCATCTTAAACCAGAGTGTTTTGACAGTTTTCTTCCTGTTTTCTTATATGATTATTACTTTTTAGCTTGTCCTACTGATTTTTTAAATGTCTACCATAATGCTGATCCTTGGAGAGCATAGTGTTTTCAAAGATGGTATTTGCTATGAATAGTTAGAGAACCACTGATCTAAGCTATCCCTTTAATACTAAATCTAGATGCAGAGTTACATTTTCCATTTGCCTGTAAAGCCATGGGTGTACTTCATTGAAATCCCCAGGTCAATGATTACATTCTGTTTCTGAAATGTACATTCACACTGCTTTCCCTCGCATACATATCAATATACTCCCCATCTCCACTTTCCAGTAATGAACTTATAACATGTACGCCTTTGCTGTCTCACATATGGTAGAAAGCTGAAGAGCCCTTTAAATCTAGCGTGCGCTAAGCTGTTGGCGACCAGAGTGATTGCAAAACCTCCATCAAATACTTCTCCTGCTGTCAGTGTCTGGTTTGCAGCACAGCAGATAAAAATGATATGGGCATATTTATGCAGGCGAGGTTCCTCTTGGCCCTGCTTTAAACAGGGAGCGAGGATGTTATGGTGCCTGGAGGGCACATCTGATAGAGAGCTGAGATGGGATCACAGCCAGCAACAGATTGGCTGATGGGCCAAAGAAATTGACCTAAAAAGATGACACATTTAACACAAATATGGATACACACTACTAAATTAATTTCACAAGAAAAAAAGAATACAGCATTAAACCAGCTAAACTGTTTGATCTGTTTTTATTTTATTTCCTAATCATATCGTCCTTTTGATGAACACATGAATTGAGCAGAAGTTCAAATCTTAGGCATGGTTACAACTTTCAGAAATAACCTTCTGAAATTCCCTCTGTAGGACAGTTACAATGAAAGCTGACTTAACTTTGAGGTCACAGTTTATCTTCCATCCAGACACCGGGGTTAAAGCAAAATATATTTTATGCATCCTTATTTTAATCGTAGACAAAACAAAAAATAAAATAAAATAAAGTTACAGCTCAAGAAATCCTGTAAAATCATTATCCTTTGCAACTTTTCTAATGATCTACTTAAAGTAATACTCAAAATCTATTTACCTGGCCCAGTGAGTATGGTGATCAACGATCAGAGTGTAGGGGGGGTTTGACGCCCAGCCTCTGCAAACTGCAGAAGCATCCTTGGGTAAAAAATAGATGCTACCCACCGATATGTTTATCAGTGTATGAGTGAAAATATTAAAAATGTGGTGTATAAAGTGTGTAAAAATATATAAATGAAAGCACTGTATGAGTGTGTATGAAAAGGGGAATGAGAAACTCTGTAAAGTGCTTTAAACAGATTGTGGGGAGAGTTAAAAAGAGTGGACCATTTACCATCTGGCTCTCATTCACTCAGGTTCAAACATGGAAATATGACAATTATGCATTATTCTGTTGGCTACCATAGATATGTTGATTTTATTGACACTTTCATTCAAGCAGTGATTGGGAGAGCTTAGTTGTTCAAACAATTCAGGGAACACGTTAAGACATTGGCAAGTACATTAAATTCATTTAAATCATTATTTAACAATGCAAAATTGTTAAAGTCCCAAAAAAACAACAAGCACATCTAAATATTTACAGCAGCCCATTAGAGCTATAAAATGTGTGTTTGAAAACTGTTCAAGCTAAATTAGTGACAAAAAAATGGATTGAAATTTGTAGGCCGATGTCAAACAGCAAGATGAAGTCTGAGTTCTAATGCAGAAGTGTCGTGCCCAAGCATAGGTGTTAAGACCTGGCACAACCACTTTCATAACAAACACTAGATACCTTCTATTATCAGCATCACAAAAAAGTCCTTCCAGAAAGTTCTTAGCTATGTTTTGGTGACTGAAGCAGAGAGGTTTTGGCCTAATTCCAAAACTGGCAGCTGCAGGGAGAAATAAACAGCTCCTGAAGAGGTTCGCCCAGATGTTTGAACTGCAGAGTGTTTCTTTGAAAGAAAGCCAAAGAACAGGAATTTTTTTTAGGTCAAAATGTGTATTTGCTCTAATCCCAACTGACGTTGTGTAGAGTTTAAATTTCCTCCAGTTCATTGATCTGTCTGGCTGAAATAGGAAGTGTGACAGACAGTTTACACAAGCCACAGCAAATGATTTTAATTACCTACCCTTTTTAAATCATGGCACACAATAAATAAAGAAAATCTTTGCTTGCAGCCTTTATGAGCTCAATACATCAGCTAGTTAAATATGTGTTGGTACTTTGAGGCATTTTAATTTAACATCTCAAATGATCTCAGTGAAAGGTTGTATTATCTTAGAAAACTGGACAATCTGTAAAATCAGCCTCTGTTTAGATCAGATGACAAAAAATGTGTTCTAAGGCTTGTTATACAGTATGTCACAGATTTTATATACAATGAAATTGGTGTTAATAAAACAGCTCTAATAAATCATTTTGACTCAGAAAAATATGCAAATTCTCAAAAACACATTCTTCAGAAGAAGTGAAAAATAAAACGTGGTTTTGTGCAAATAAAGTCAACTTATGTCTCTAATCAGTCACAGAAATGAAAAAGGGTAATAATTAGT